ACGGAGCAGGGCAGGGGAACAGCCCGTGGCTGTGATATGCTCCTTCCATCCATGCTGCTGCAGTCCGCTGCCTGGGCCACCAGCTGATGCGATGGCAGAGCGCACCGAGCTCCAGCCAAGCTTTGAGGACGTTTTTCGTATTCTATCTCAGACCCCGCGGGACAAACTCCTTAACCTCAAACATAAATTGAAGCGCTCAATACCTGGACCCAGTAGCAAACTACTGCAAGCCATGGTCCTGATTACTCTGAGGCAAGAAGAGGATGCGAGAATTTGTTTGGACGCCTTGAGAGACAACCAGGCAGCCCAGTACATCCACCAGACCAAACTGGGGGCTGCAGCAGGAGCGCAGGGAGATGGGGAGGATTTGCAGCCCCCCCAGCTGGATGGAGCTTCCATGGGGCTGCTGGCACGGATCTACTCGGTGTTGCTGGAGGAAGAGCTGTGCAGTCGGGAAGCCCTGGACAAAGCCGGCCGGGCTGCCACCAATGCCCGCAGCGCCCGCGAGGAAACTCAGGGGCACACAGGCAACAGCATCCCAGCTGGAGAGCAAGAAAGACGGGGCTCCGCTGTCACCATGGGCCCAGGGGACGAATTTCAGACGCTGAGATCTGATGCGAGCGTAGGATTTCTCAAGGCAGCCAGCCCCAACTACGTGGTGAGGAGTTCTCCAGTGCAGATTGGAGGCAACTCAGACCCTTCACACCCATGGACCTCGTGCTCCTTAGGGAGTCCCTCTTTGTCCAGTCGCTTTGAGATCAGTGCGTCGCCAACAGTCGTTTTTCACACCCATCCTCCTTCCCACGACAAGCGCGTCCCCGAGCGCGTCCCTCAGCGCAGCCGGTCGCACGAGGCAGGCACCAGTGGCACTGGACAACCTGACAGGGACAGACAGAGCCACGGCCTGCAGGAAATGAGCTGGGCCAGCAGATACAGTTCTCATCCCGGGCAGGACGTGGGTGCCCAAGCCACCCGACCGGAGGTTCTGCAGGTCAGTTCGCGTCGCCCAGCTCGCTCCGTTGCCGAAACACGGCCCGCGACGGCAGCTGGGAACCAACCCGTTGAAAGCTGTGATGTTCCCAGCACAGTGACAGCGGAAGCTCAGGCACCAAAAGAGCACAGAGACACAAAGCGAGATGACAAGCAATTCTCTACACATCTTCCTGACTCGAGAGCTACAGTGGATACTGGTCCTGCCCGCAGGCCCGTGGAGAACTCCTACGTTCCAGCAGGCATTCCTTCTAACGCTGCACCTGCTTCCCTAATAACGTGTTCCCTTCCTCCTCCTACCTACTCCTTCGCCTCAACCCTTCCCACTCCTCTTTGGGGAGCTCCTGCCAATTTCTCGTATCCCCCTCCCTTCCCCTCATCCCCCTCTCCAGCCTGGTCTCCTCCTCTCAGAACTGCAGAGCCAGCGCCTCCATCAGAGATAGATGATGGAGAGAGAAAGTTCTTCACTTTTGTAATCCTGCACGCTAGTAAAGATGAGGCAGTTGCCAGTCGGGTCAAGAACCTGCTGGAGGGCATGGATGTTCCCAACGGCGCAACGCTCTGTGAGGACTTCTCCATTGCCGGATGCAGCCACCTGACTTGTTTCCAGGAGGCCATGGAAAACTCCGCTTTCATCATCCTTCTGCTGACCAAAAACTTCCTGTGCGACCTGTGTAAGTTCCAGACAAACACTGCTCTCATGGAGTCCATCCAGAACCCATCCAAGCATGACTCGGTCATCCCTTTCATACCCAAGGAGAACCGCCTGGATCGGAGTCAGATCCCCAACACGCTCGGTGCGCTGATACCCTTGGATGAGAACTCCCCTGGGTTCTCCAGCACGGTGAAGAAAACCTTTGCCTCCAGCAGGATCAGTCAGAGAAAAGCCATGTGGGACCAGATGCAGAGAAGGAAACTCCAGGTGTACGAGGAACAGCATCAACCGCTGCCGACATTCGCTGCTCTGAACCTCGGCTCCCTCCCCCACGTGCCTCCAACACACCCACAGCCGCCGTCACCCCAACAGTGGTGCCCCCCAGCTGCGACTGCCCTTCCTGCCACGTACCCCCCACCCCTCGCTGGTCACCCCCTGCCTGCTCAGATGGATCCTTCTCCTCTCCAACCACTTCAGCTCCCCCTGGGCCACTACAACGGGCTGCTGGGGGCGGGAGGCATCTCCGTGGTCAACATCCAACACGCTCAGATGGTTCAGGTCGGGACCGACAACACGATGCGGGCAGGGACTGTCGTGCCGCATCCACAGGGCAGCGAGGAAGGAACCACGTAGAACGGTTGGTCAGAAACTCAGCCGAGGCTGGAGGCGCCCTCATGTCATTTCAAATCCGAGATTATAGTGATTCTGCTGGGACTGGGCCTATTCTTATTTCACTGTGGGTGAACGGTGCTACTTTCCTGGAGCTCAGGAGAAAATTACTTTCTTTTTTGTTGGACAAAAGAGGTTACGATTCCCTGAGACTGTTTTCCTTGTGCTTATTTTCAAGTAACTGAGAAAACTTTCCCTGATTTTCCGAGGCTACTGGTAGGTTTTACAAATAAATTTTAATTAATTTATTTGCACACCCACAGCCGCTTCTTGTATAATTAACCACGTTAATAGCCTATCCCGGATAGCCTATCAGGGATATTTGAAAAACTGTTCCGCGTGTCTGTACCTCTGGGGTAGAAGGTGTTGGGAGACAGCACGCCGGGCTCCTGCTCCGTAATGTGCTGCCGACCAAATATCTGGAGGGGAAAATCTTCAAGGGGTCACTCTGGGGAGCTGCTGTGGCCCATCAAGGTGCTAAACACCGCAAGGTCCCCCCTTTTTCTTCCAGCAGGCCTCTCGGCTGCGGATTGCAGCGTATCCTCTCGGCCCTTCACGCCGATGCCTGCTCTCCGTGGGCAGAGCTCTCCCCTCGCAGCAGCACGCCCGCAGCACCGTTCCCCCCAGACGTCTCACGTCAGGCCCAGGAGGGTTCAGGGTTCCAGCTTCACAGACTTCCGAGAGGCCTCGGGGCTGAAGTATCAAGAGATCACTTTTCCCAGTTCCCCTCTGAAACTACAGAGAGGGAAGTTTTTTGGTTCTGAAAGACACAATTCCCATGTGCCCCTGGAGACACGGCCTGAACTATTTTTGTATTTAAGAAAACTCTTAAAATTGCTGAGATTACACACCAGACATGAGGCTAAACAATAAGCTTTAGAGAAAAAAAATATAAATTACTTAATGAAGGTGGAATGAGAGGGGGGAGATGTGGAAAAAGTCTGAGGAGGCAGAAGCTGAGCATCCACCACCTCAGAGGTGGGACCGGGCCCTGTCACACTGGCGGCCGCACCGAGAAACG